ATCGTGAATAATGACCGTTCCGACCAGTTTTTAAAATACCAACCACCGAACTCCGAACACAAACCATCTAACACCGTCCACAAGAAGTTGGAGACTATAACAATATGTCATTTGTCTCACCGATTCTGATGGTGACACAATAATAACCCTTACATCCTCTCATGGATATACGAGCAGTCTTATTCAAAAAATTCAAAAAAAATCAACAACAAAGCAACATAATTAACCGTTGAAAACGAAACGAAATAGTACACGCTCGGGTACAAGTTCTTTTAAAAACGTGTAACTCAACCTTCTTATAAAACAAAGCAAAGGAAATGTAAAGCTAGCGTTAAATCGTGGAATTAACAGCCTTTACTACTTTTTGAATATGAAGACTCTCTCTTTCAAGCATTCTAGTGCTTGGCTCTGATAAAAAATCAGAATGCTAGCTCTAATAAATAAAAATGTATAAACTTAAATATAGTACGCAAAGTTCCTAAAGATTAATTATTCGAAATGAATGTAGAGCTCGCCATCAAAATTGTTATCATCACTGTCAACAGACCTAAGCCAACTATTTATGAATACCTGGAAGATAAATTTAACCCTTAATTATTAACTTTTAAGTGTTAACAATAAAACAAGAAACTACATGCATAACATGAAGTATAAACACCCGGGTATAAACGCATTGTTGGGCGCCGAGGTAGCATTCGCCAATTCAACTGACGGCTGACAGATTACCCTTATGTATCTAATAGTTATGCAAATTAAAATATGTCCAAGTCATTTAAATATGAATAGTGACTGTCACGTTAAAAACTAGATTAAACCACCAGCCGACATCTGGCAGGTGAATTCAACTCATTTAACTCATGAGTAGTACCTGCCACTATAAGTAATTGAGTTTACCACTGATAAAAAGTAGGTTAAACCACCAGCCGGCAGCTGAATTCATGAATGCAACCTTAGTTCTGAATTATTTCGGAGCTGTTTCTGCTGAATCCCAGGATGCGTTTTACACCTTTCCTGAGTGAAGACCCCCCGCTTTTCTCTACGTTGTGTCCTCCTCGCATGTGTCCATGCATAACCCCAAACTTCACATGTCCGTCATGTCTGCAGCATTCCATTCATTGAAAGAACCTGTAAAAAAGAATATAATATTTAGCAGATGAGATATCAAATGGTGACTGAGACATCAAATGTTTGAACCACGGGTCTGGGTTAAATATTGTACTTGCTTAAATTACTGTATATAAGATGGGGCATGCAAGCTCGATTGTTTCTTCTGTGTTTGTTTTTACCCTAGCTTGCAAGATGAGTTTGAATTATTACCTCACGGGAGATGAAGAATTTACCATTGGCCTTATTTTACAATTATATTAGGCACAGTACATAATTTTTTTCAAAAATAAAATAACAGTTACTATCTAGTTTTGGATTTGACGATCTGTGGAACTATAGAGTAAATTCTGCTTCTTTCTGCTTTTAGCATTGGCAAACGTATTTTAAATATTAAAAGGAAACTAATTAATGTATGAACGATTGCCTTTCCCGGGGCTAATGACTATGACCGAATCACACTGAACGAAATGCTGTTAATGAACTGAGCGTCTTCTTTTTGAACGATTAAAATCATTGTGAACAAATGAAGCTCCTCATATTCAATTTGACTACTTCAGGCATCGGTTTTCCCAATCAAAAGTTTGTTCAAAAAGAATGTTCTTACTACTATGGATATCTTAAAAATGAATGTGAACTCAATGAATTTAAGGATTTCTGTATTATAGGCTAACTGGTTTGTGAAATATTTATTCTTTTATTGTAAATGATTTTGCGAAGTTTGTTTTCTCTATTTTGAGAGTACGCCTGTGTGTGCATGTAGCTACAGTAACTCTAGTTGAATGCATATGATGCTGTACAGAAAATAATTAATTACCCGTTTTTTATTAGTATTCTAGTATTAGTATATCCATGGGTCTCTTAAAAGCCCATGGTATATCTGTTGGCGGTGATGATGAAAATGCAACGTTCCACTTCCAAAAACTTACTTAATTGCCAGAAAGATTTATTTGTTTTCCACTGTACAATCGTATTATTAAGTTAGGGTTATACGTCCTTTGTTCTGTCACCCTTCAAAACCGGGGAAATCTCTTGTACAAAAAACAGACTTCAAGTACATCAATTTTATTTTGGCATAAATCTAACGTAGATATTTTTATTTCAGGTTAAGCAGCATTACAATTACAATATTATAACTACAAAGCTCAATTTACCTGATTTAACAGGGTTGTACATATTAATTTTCTGCCAAGAGTATCAGACGAATCAAATCATGATTTAATATCACTTAATCACGTGGTTCTAACTCACCAGGGCGTATCGAAACTAAAACGCCCCCCAAACCCGTTAATTTGAATTTCAAATCTGCCCTGTCTTTGGAAAATCAATGATTGTGGGTCTCAAACAACACCATTTTTCTTCAAACTTGTTCCATTAAATTTCCTTCACAGAAATACCTTTTCAGTCGAGACATTGCTTTTGTTTACAAAGTCCCTCGTTTTAGCGGCGTTTTGGTCCCCAGATGTGAGAAGTTTCGATACGCCCCGGTGAGTTAGTACCGCGTGATTAAGTGAAATTAAATCATGATTTGATTCGTCTGATACTCTTGGCAGAAAATTAATATTAATAATTGATATGCCGAGTGAACGAAGATGAAATTGTAATGTATTCACATGGAAATAATGTGATATACAATACAATATAATACAATACAATACAATACAATTAATACCATGTTTGTAGGGCGTACATTCCAGTTTCTAAATATGATTACACATTTAAGACATGCATGCAGTGATATTGTTTGGATAGTTACCGACCAGTCATTCGCGTACGTAGATGAAGAAACCAAGACAGTTTCAAAGAGAAACGGAAGACAGTACATCATACATGTCTAGTTAAAAAACAATATTTATAATCTGAAAATCTGTATTTTTGAAGAAATTTTGGGGGTGAAAATCTGTTTTTCGTCTTCGGGATTCAGCTAAAAAGTAATTGGAGAAAAATCACGGTTACAAAACTGAATCAACAATTCTAAAAAATTCGGATTTCTAAAAATATATCGGGATAAATCAAAACGGTTGAGATTACTTCATTTACAAGTTTATATCAAATTAGTTTTACAGTTAACATCAACGGTAATGTCTCAGAAACTTATATTGCCTTTGGGGATATTTCATTTGTGTGATCGTGGCATAAGCAACGACTAAGTTTTGTTTTGAATTTACAAAAATGTATTTAACTTCATTCAAAATTGAGCTAGACGCTTCAAATAAAAAAACATTTTAAGGCTGTTCTCTTCCTCTATCATCATCGGCATATTTTCAATGCCGGGTTACGGGGGAGGGTGCGATCGCACCATGGCACCACCTCCTGGCTACGCCTATGACATTGTAAGACGTAACAATTTACACTTCAGTTGACGCTTCGTCGAAAATTGGGATAACTTAAATTATGCAATCAAAACCTTACACGTTGCATCATGTAAAATAACACACGTCCATTCTCTACTAAAGTAACGATAGCTATTTACAGATTTAAATCACAATCGAAATAATTCACGTACCAATATACGAACTATTGAAAACACAGTATTCATTGATTTGCCATGTTTTTCAAATATAAAAAGCTTTCTAATGATATTTAACTTAATATGTTATTAATATGCTAAATTTTCGTATTTTTTTGTTTTTCTGGGTACCCGGTTTTTTCGACTGGGTACCCGGTTTTCTCGACCGGGTACCGGGTACCAAGTTGGAACCCAGTATGGAGGATTTAGTACCCGGTACCCGGTTTTTTCTACAAACCCATAATTAACCATACATATTCGTTCACTCAGCTCCTATTGGCCGAAAAGTCGTTGCCGATACTATGTCAGACAGATGCAAAATAGTTGACTCAATCGACGTACCCAAACTATTTAGAAAGTATGATTAACAATTTGAGAGGGTTTGAACTTTTTGCGAGGATCCTGAGTCAAAAAGTAATAATATATCGAATCAACGTACGATGCGCTTTTGTTTAATATACTGCATGCGCGACTATATTTATAAATCTTCAACTTTTTATCTTTTCTAAGCCCCACCCACGGACTGTCCCTAAGCCCTATACATAAGCAAAACTCACTCAGCTACCTTTCCTACACTATTCAACTATATCTATTCAGGACATAAGTTCGTTCATATACTACACAGCCATATTCTAGGCAATTTGACTTTTTATTTTCTCAGTCCAGTGTGCCCCAACCCCGGAGCGTTGCCGCTGACATCACCATCGTCGCACGATATCCTACTCCTGTTCTTCTAGAATTAATACACCAAAAGTAGTGCGAAAAGGGCCTTTTCAACATCCATTTTCAGGCCATTGAAAAACATCAAAATTTCAAATAATCCAGGCATCTTCAGGGGTCGTTTTGGCCCGGTTTTTCTCGGAGATGTCTCAATTACATAATAATAGTTACACATATACTGAATAAAAGTAGTGCTAGAATGACCTCTTCTCGTTTTGGCATAAAGAGTTGATGACATTAAAGACATAATTTCTTTTTTAAGTCGTGTATCTCACGAAAATTGGCATACCCGAGTGGAAAAATCTTTCTTCCGTGGCAAAGAAAATATATCAAATATTGTCTGAATAGCAGATTTAACTCTGTAAATCTATTTAAACATGCCTTGGCAAAATATAGCCATTTGGACGATTGCAGGTTTGTACTTTTACTTGAACCACGCATAGCAAAAAATCAAATCCTATTTTCGGATTTTTGTTGTCTTAAAGTGTTCTAGATGATATCAAAGTTCAAGAAAACCTGTATGGTTAGAAATATTTTAGAAATTAGGCCTAGTGCCATATTGTAGGTTTGGGTACTTTTCTCTCCAATTGAGGACTATTGGCATTCATATACCCTCTATATACTACTTACACTATATACTTACTCTTACACAGAAATAACCATTGTTAAATTAATGGTGGACCTTCCTCATTTCGGACCATCAAATATGTCTGATATTCTACTTAGATTGTAAAATCCATGATAAGTGTGATAATTAGAATCCAACCTAGTTGTCATTGTAAAATTGAACGTATCTTTCAGCTCTGGGAATTTTAAAGGTTTCTTTGGTGGCGGCTCCGCACACAGGAATATCCATTTTTGACTGGGTGATCTGTACGTTGGAATACCTGCCTTGAGAAGATTACGCATAGTACAGGTTTGGAAAACTACAGCGTGGGCTTCCTTTATTTTGGAACTATCCTCGGTTACTTCACATTTAAAATGAGGACCATTATAGATCCCAAGGGGAAAGCACAAATGGTTCGCACATTTCGTCCATAGTAATATCATAATTGCATCTGTGTGATTTGTTATATTTCCTCTAGTTTTTACAGTTCCTATATTTGTTTGAAGTATCAAGCCTGTTTGATCACGTACATATACAGCGGAATTGGGAGTTATAACTTTAGTATCAAGTGTTCTCAAATACTTTAAAATATCAACTTTGAAGAATGTAAAGTAGCAAATTGATATTGTAGTGAGAAGAATTAAAATCGAAAATGTCCGTCGATAATTCATTTTAACTAGTCTATACACACTACTTTATTCTAAGAGACATATATCTGCCTATATATCTTCATCATTATCAGTACAGTAGTGAGACTTTTTGTACAGAAACTCGAATAATAACGAGCAACGTCAACGACGGTAGAGTTTCGGCAACAAAATGATGCAATATCTTAGTGGTTCGAAACTGGTGCAACTGCTAATACGGCATCGATTCTTTCCGCAATGAACCTTTTTTCCGTTGGATTTTACGTTGTCACTATACACAGGTGCCGTACCAAATTAAGTGTGGCAATTGAACGCGTGGTGGTAAGGCATAACACGAGGGTGGTGGAATGTGAGCAAACTGATGTTTTCATCGTAAATCTGGTCTCTGTCTGTTAGATCTGGTCCAGTTTTTTAAAACGATGAAAACATCGATTTGCTCAAATTTTATCACACTCGTGTTGTACCGTTTACGCCACGCGTTCAACTGACACTGTCAGCTCCTGTGCTATATGTATTTCAAATAGAAGAGTTCCCGCAATTATGTTGATTATTTGTTGTTGCTTTTTAACAATTACTAATATTAAATTCCATGAAATATGTCATGGAGTCCTCCCATATTTTGCGCTTAAAACAGACAAAACGCGAGTAAGATTATTATACTGCGTGAAGCAAAGCGGTTTCCAAGAGAACATACACTATGAATAAGAAATTCCTGTGGCTATTTCAGTTTACCGAATAATAATGTATTCAAATCATTCGGAAAATAAAGGTTATGGATGTTGAATAACCCCTTCCTTCTTCCAGTCTAACATGTCTAAAGTATGAGTTATGCGACACGTACTTTAAATACAACCATTGCATTTGTATCTCTTGGCATTCCACGTATCATAATTCTGTATGCAACTATTGTTCAACAGAAGTGGTAGCGTGACTATAAGACATTTTCTGTTGAACACAAATTTACATCATGTTGCATAAAATAATGACTATATTGCATTTACATGATTACTAATTTTACTTTCAATAATTATGTTCTTGTTTTAAACAATGTTCTTGTATTGATTATGTTCGCACGTTCACTTGAACACATTGACAACGATAGAGTCAGATACCGTTGTCACAAATGGCAGGCGTAACCGTCGTCCAACTTTTTAATCACTTGGTTTTCATTTCAGAGGATCTTATCGTCGCTAATTCTGCGCATGTATTAAGCTCTTGTGTGTTTTATATTCGATGAAAGTGATCGTACTCTAGGAGTGAGGAGGAAAATTCTCAATAAATGGTGTATAGTTGGTTTAGCAGCATTTTCAGTTAGGGGAGACACGCCTAACCATCGACAACGTACAGTGACAAGATATACCGTCGTACACTTTAGGTGTACGGTTGAATATAGTAAATAGTACGGTTAATTTGAAGCGAAAACTATGATGTCGGTTTGATTGAGGTTTTCAAAAATTAATTTGAGGAGAACATAAAGGATTTCATATTTGATTTCGTGTGTATTCGATTTGGGAGACATTTACTGTACCTTTCTTAATACGTTAAAAGATTTTAGTGCAGTGCTCGATTTTTTTCGTTGTTAATTTACCCATGTAATTGGTCAGTTAGAAAAAGTGTATGACGGTATATTTTGTCACTGTACGTTGTCGATGGTTAGACGTGGGAGAGTCTTGGATGAAACTTCCACCTTGGTGATAGCTTCGCAGAGTGGTAGGAAGTTCTTGAGTGGTTAGCCCCCCCCCCAAAAAAAAATACCCCACCCTGGGGAAAAAATTGTTCACACTAGATAATCTTAGATCTAGAGTTTATGTTTGTAGGTGACATACTAAAGAACACATCTGAAGAATTTGAATATTAGTACAAAGTGTGTACCCCAGGGGGCAAATGCGTGACTCCATTTTCATACTATTTTGATCGTAACTTTTCAATAAGACACTGTAAGAGGTTAAAAAATTCATGTGAAGTGCCAAATAGCAGGATTAGGAACCCTGAAAGATGCAAAGCCATTGAAGAGGGGAGCTGAGAAAGATGGATACGTCGTTTGTATCCTCCTTACTGCATTAGATTGGATGACAACTAGAAATTGGCAACTCCACGGAGTAGCAAATCCCAACGAACGCCATGTTCATGAATCTGTATGTGTCACAGTGTAATATTTACCATCTACTCCACCCTTGCTTAAATTGGCAGATATGAAATCACATACAGGGTGTCCCGAAAGTATGGGGGCCCCCTAGGCAGACCTATACCAATGTCCCCATAGTGTGCGTCATATATCATTTTAAAGTTACATTGACCTGCCAAGTATTACGGTTCAACTCAAAAATGGGAAAAAGTTACAGGCATTTCAAAATTTAGTGTTTGGCCAAAATTAAAGTCGGTTTTACACCAAAATAATAGTCGGTGTGTCTCCCTTAGCCATGTTAACGGCAGCAATGCTTTCCATATGACCTTAAACGTGCTTCAATAGGGATTTGGAATTTCATAATCCTCATAAAGGCAATCCTTTTAAAGGCATTCTAGAAGTTTCCTTGGAGTATCCACCCTCAACCAGTCAACTGCCTCTTTTTAGAACTTAATATCCATCCTTTTGTCGACAATAGCACCCATATTTTCGGTCATATTCAGGTCAGGGCTGTTTCCAGGATACTGAAATGAACTATATGTTTGGCCAAACACTAAGTTTTTTACCATTTGTGAGTTGAACCATGATACTTGGCAAATTAATGTAAGTTTGGATAAGCTTTAAAATGATATTTGGCATATACTATTGGTATATGTCCGCCTAGGGGGGCCCCCATACTTTCGGGAAACCATGTACATAAGAGATTTATCAGAGTTTTCATTTTAAGCATTTGAGTGACCTTATAGAAGTTTCAAGTTACCCTGCAGACGGACGGACTTACTGACTGACGGACGAAGGGCTTCACTATATCCTTGTATATATCCTATATACTTCGTTCGTTGGGATAATGATAATAGACATAAGCCTAAGAAATGTTGATATCTGTAAAATAACCCTTCTTTATTGGCGCCTGTTATTTACAAGAAAATCCAAAAAGTCCGATTAGCACATAATATCGGTGAAGCATTCCAATTTAAAGTCATGGAATGCGTGGAATGCAATGTAATTTGTTGCTCAATTCATTCGAGATTTAATACTAGTATATTCATACACGCAGCAGATTTTCTCGGTTTCGGATTTTATAATCCATATAATAACATCTATTCGGCTAACATCTGTAACTATTTGTGAGCAGCTGGAATTTTATTGCACGATTCCTATCTGATATGTGGCAATTCATGCGAACTGGTGTCTATCATACGTTGTACAAATCCTAAACGTGCATCCTCGAATCCTGATCACCGTACCGTACACTTACAACACAGTGTTCGTCATAAATACGAGGTCTAATGCCCTCAAAAATATCGTTTATAACGTATTTGACAGCATCAGCGTATTTGACATAGTCTCCAAGGCCCCATCTATATAGTCGAATAGGGACTAAGGCTTGATCTGAAACAACTTCTTCCTCTTCAGATCATGTGGATTAAGCTCTGAATCCCGCTTCAGAAGATGAGTCCTGAAACCCTGAAACTAAACAAATTAGCCCAGAAAGGAAGCACACACAAAGAGAATACCAAGAGACCACGTACGGTCACATTACACACTTAAAATGGAGGCCTTTAATGAGTACTAATTGGAATAATCATATTTAGCCATTATGAAACTATTCCTATTTCCCAACTTTCTTGGACAATCATATATAAATAAAAATTATGTTAGTAATGTACTTTTTCTGATGTTGGTTTATCAATTCTTTTAACACACAAACCATATGCCATTTTCACTTTCGAAGTAATCTGGAGACAAGGTCATTTTAAAACACAGTCCCAACTTTAACAAACAATTCACTAACTTGTATGTGGTTAATGATAAGACTAGATTTTGAGAGCCTATTATGTTAACCAGGGTCAGGGTTAAACTTCAGTTAGACTGTAATAATACACTGAAATTTATGTGTAAGAAAGAAATGTGTAAAATAATCCCAATGAGAAGAATTCCAGTATTTGTATAAAGCGCCAGTGTAACCCCACCCATCAAAGATACACAGCTTCCTAGCTCTTTGAACATGTATGTGGGTACGAGGAAAACGGATAATTGCAGAAGTGGCAGAGGATTGGCCCAAGACTCAAAAATTCCACTGAGATATCAATTTTAGTCTTGGTCATAGAAATCGTGCAAAGCTGGTGACTCCATACAACCATTTAATATAATGAGGTGATCAAAACAGGTCAAAATAGGTCATCAAAAGCTGATAAAAATGGGGATTTAAAGAATGGGAAGAAGCACTCAAATGACAATGACAGGTTAGGAAAACAATGAGGGATGGCATAGAAAAAGATGCAAATTAGATAATTTTCATATCCTTAAACACATCATATACTTACAAAAAAGTTGATTATAAATACACTTAGCTCACATTAGATGCATCTCACAAGCTCTTCGTCCAATTTATTACAAGTTGTGTCTCTCGGTCATATATATCCTTATTGCTGTATTGTGTTTCATACTTTGGGGGACTTGATATAAATATGAAATGGATAGTTATTATATTAAGGGAAGGGGTGGGGTTATAGGTAGGGTAAGACTTGGGAAGAAAATCATGGAAAGGGGGTAATTTTTTAGAAATCCTAAATTAAATTCTTTAACATGACTGAATTCCTTGTTTCCTGATATCCAATTACACACAAGGGATACATCTGATATCTTTCCTCCGTTGTTTTCCTAAGGATATCCAAAAGAAGAGATATACTATTTCCTAATGGGATTGTACTATAGTGTGATTATTCGTGATTCTTATTTGGTTAATTTCCTGATCATTTATGCTAAGAATACTTCCAGAATATACTACAGTATATCCTAAGAAAGATATCACTGATATCCTTTAATTGTTCCTACTCAATCACTCCTATAAGGAATCCATTTAAGATACTAGTATTACAAAAATACTAGCATTCAACTTGGGAATCATATCCATGGAGGAAAAACTGAGATCTAACTTCCTGAGATCATATCCTATAGGAAGGATTTAAGATATCCAGAGTTCCTTCCTCAGGATACGAGACCATATCCCAGACATCGTCCAGTAGATATAATTAATATCCAGAAACCCATTTAGAAGTGATAACATCCTATTGAATACAAATATCATCCAATAAAATCCTTCCGACATGCAATCCTAAGTTTGACCCTGATCTTTATTTCCAATTGAACAAGTCATATTCTATTGAAGGGGATACAGCTTTTATCCATGGTTTAATTGAACACTTCAATAGAATATGACATTTATCCAATAAGTTTGATTCTATGGGATACATTTATTTTGATATCCTTCCTTGAACTATGTTATCCTATAGAAAATGGCCCTTATCCTCGCGAGTGATCCAATTCCCAAGATCCATTATTCCTAATCCCTGAGTTAATGATCCTATCCCTGATCTGATCTCATTCGATCCCTTATTTGATCCCTGATCCTTCCCTTGTTATCCTATGATCCATCCATGTTACCCTTTAATCAAAAATAAAACAAGATTAATATTATTTACAAATTAAAATAATATTTTATGAGGACAGTTTTCATTCTTATTGACAATAATTTTGTTCACAGTATTTGTGGATAAATTAAAATTTTATAACTTTTTTACTGTTCATCTGTATTATACAATTCTGAGGTCATTTTTCAAAAAATATTATACTATTTATAGCTGTATAGTGATACCATGAAAGAAAAATCACTGCAATTTATCACTGTTAAGAAAGGATTCATTAAAACAGCGATGTAATATTGAATAATTTTCAGTTTTAAAAATGGAATGAAAACTTTTTCAATATAGTAACATACATTTATGAAGTATCAATACAAAACGATACACATTCATTCATACCATATATAGCACAAATCCTTATTCCTAACTATCTATACTGTCATGGCAACCATCTTTGTTAGGCGCCTTATTTGGTCAGACAGCATGGTAGTGCAGCAAACTAGCAAAATGAAATATAAAACACTGTTTTATATGCAGCTGAGATTTAAAATTTTGACTAAAACATTCGAATGATTTCTGTTATTGGAGGGGCAATTTTTCTTAATAGAACAGCATTTTCTAATGAGTAAATTTTCAACTTTGAACATTGCAAATTGATTTGAAATGTCTGCATATTTTCATGAGCAAATTATTATCTTAAAAAGTTGCTTTCAAAGTTCAGATATTCTGCACATGGTTAAAAATTGATTTCAAACTGTGAAATATGAATGTGCATATTATTAATTGAAGCTGATCTTTTTTCATGTTTGAAACACATTGTTCAATAGGCTACAGTTTTTTCAAACCTATTAAGTTCCTTGTTGAGCTCTCACATGGTGAAATATTGTTGTCATGCATAAAATGATGCTAATATTTATGAATTAAAGTGATTATTTCAAATTCTGGAATGCTACAGAGTGGGTCAAAAAATGTTACCCTTTCTTGCAAGTTCAAAATGGGTAACATTTTTGGCTTAGCCTGTATATAAAATTAATTGATAAAAAGTGAATTTATGAAACAGTCAGTTCAAGACAATATTTCATCAGTGAAATGCATCATGATGTATTGTTGAAATGGGGTGTAATTCTCCCTCAGGGGAAAGGTGAGTATCTGGGGGACCCGCGAGAACGTCTTCTGGGTGAGTAACTTCGGCTTCTGGATCTTTCATGACGTCCATATGAGCTTGAAGGTTCACCACCTCCTCGATTTTTGTAATCTTCCTTCACTCGAACGTAAGAGGTTTCACCCTGTGAGGAAAAAAATAGACACTGTTATTGATTTTTAAACAAAAATAGCAGTCAAACAATATTAAACTGTTAAACCACCATATAAAAACAAGTGTTATACAGTATATGCCAAAATAAGTTTGCACCTTTCTGAATGAATGAGTTCAACAATATTATTTGTTCTTTTTTTATCATATTTATAGCTTCAAGTAAGAATTGACAAGCAATGTCAAAACTTCCAACAGAACAGCATAAAACTAAACAGTGCTCCATTTGACAATGTAGAATGAAATTAAGATACAGTATTCCTTGGAACTGAAACAGGTAGGCCTTGAACCAACTTGAGATTTTAAAAAGAGGCTCCAATATGAACGCTTTGCTGCATCCGCCTGAATGAGAAAAAATCTTGAAAAGCTTTGCAAAAGTCAGTGGGGTGCTTTGTGAAACAGGGTAACACACCTGAGAACAGGGTAACAAACATTAGAACAGGGTAACATACCTCAGAACAAGGTAACAAAATAGGGTACTACTTTAGAACAGGATAAAATACCTGAGAACAGGGTAATATACCTTAGAACAGGGTAACAGAACAGGGTAACATATCTTAGAACAAGGTATCATATCTTAGAACAGGGTAACATGGGTAACATATCTTCGAACAAGGTATCATATCTTAGAACAGGATAAAATACCCGAGAACAGGGTTATATACCTTAGAACAGGGTAACATACCTCAGAATAGGGTAACATACCTTAGAACAAGGTAACAAAATAGGGTACTACTTAAGAACAGGGTAACAAACCTCAGAACAGGGTAACATGCCTTAGAACATGGTAACATTACTCAGAACTGATAACATACCTTAGAACAAGGTAACATACCTCAGAACAAGGTAACAAAATAGGGTACTACTTAAGAACAGGGTAACAAACCTCAGAACAGGGTAACATGCCTTAGAACATGGTAACATTACTCAGAACTGATAACATACCTTAGAACAGGGTAACATACCTCAGAATGGGGTAACATACCTAAGAACAAGGTAACAAAATAGGGTACTACTTAAGAACAGGGTAACAAACCTCAGAACAGGGTAACATGCCTTAGAACATGGTAACATTACTCAGAACTGATAACATACCTTAGAACAAGGTAACATACCTCAGAACAAGGTAACAAAATAGGGTACTACTTAAGAACAGGGTAACAAACCTCAGAACAGGGTAACATGCCTTAGAACATGGTAACATTATTCAGAACTGATAACATACCTTAGAACAGGGTAACATACCTCAGAATAGGGTAACATACCTAAGAACAAGGTAACAAAATAGGGTAACACACTCATACCTCAGATTAGGGTTTTATACCTGAGAACAGGGTAACATATCTTAGAACACGGTTACATACCTTAGAGCAGGGTAGCATACCTCAAAACAGGGTAACATACCTCAGAACAAGGTAGCATACCTCAGAACAAGGTAACAAAATAGGGTACTACTTAAGAACAGGGTAACAAACCTCAGAACAGGGTAACATGCCTTAAAACATGGTAACATTACTCAGAACTGATAACATACTTTAGAACAAGGTAACATACCTCAGAACAAGGTAACAAAATAGGGTACTACTTAAGAACAGGGTAACAAACCTCAGAACAGGGTAACATGCCTTAGAACATGGTAACATTACTCAGAACTGATAACATACCTTAGAACAGGGTAACATACCTCAGAACAGGGTAACCTCCCTAAGAACATGGTAACATACCTCAAAACAAGTAAACATACCTCATGAGATTTGAATTTTGAATCATCCAATCGTTGGGCTGCATATTTCATATCGTCAAAGCGCAAGAATTCCACAACACCCGTGCCATCTTTGTAAACATCTGCATAACATACATCACCAGCTTCTCGCATATGGTCCTTCAAGTCTTGCCAGCTACCAGATGGTGGAAGACCTAAAACAGACATAAGTACAGGTGTTATGACCGAAACAAACATTTGGTTATCTTGCAGTTCTCAATTAAAGGTCTTGTATGAAATAATGAGGAATGTGTTTGGACATTTCATCTAATCAGAAATGTGGCAATTTTTTACTCTTCTGAACATGTTTGCTGTTATTACAGTTATAATATAACACTAGTAAGCAGTAGTTATGCTGTGTGACACATTTTTGGGCCTCGTGTAACTTCACTGGGCCCTACATGACCCATTCTGTCTACTGAATCAGGTCATTGGAAAATGTTTTCTATGATATCTGTTTACACAATAATCATGTAATTGTTATGACACCATGATTATCAAGAAATCAGAACTGCATTAACCAGAACTGCATGTATACTGAAACATTCACTAATAGTGTGGGGCTCAATCTGACGGATCCATTGAACAAAAGTATTAGACTTTTAATAGTTATTTATAAAGGTTATTGCAAATACTGTATAACATGTATTAAATCCGGATGCTTTATTTTCCGAATTGGATTAAAATTGTTATTGCCGAATAAAAGTTTGCCGACCTGACACCCCTAAATGTAAAGCCAAATAAATTGCTAAGCTGAAACCCCTAATATAATTTTGATTTACAACTGAATTTTAATCACCTTCATTTGACTGACTCAGAAAACCTGACATCCTGACATTATGAGTGACAATTTGAGTGATTTATTCACATAATACCCGCATTCGATAGACTCAGGAAAATTAATACCAGGATTAAAAACTTTTAATATTGGGATTAAAAACTTTTAATACTGGGATTTCCGAAGCCCTTGGATACAATTAGATCTTCTGACATTATTACTCTTTAACATGACAATCCTTTTAGTATTTTATAGATTTTACTGCATGCATTTTAACTGCAACAATTTTATTATTAACTTTTTATTGTAATTTTATGCTGGGGACTGGGGTATAAAGCTTCGATTTTATCGTTGATACTCGTTCTAAAATTACCCTATTACAGTAAGTTGACGCACGTTAGACAACTACCATATTATCGCCCACTAAGATCGATCTTCAATTATTTAATTATATTTTCGAATTTTATGTTGCCGTTTCTGTTTTACATTCAGCAATCAGCAACTTTATATCCACGGCAATATTTCATGTTATACAGTATTAGGCTTACAATGCAGAAAGCATTTAACTTTATAGCACGTGTAGAGACCTATTTCATACAAGCTTTAATAGCTGATCGACCCCATTTAATCATCATGCATTTTAGCATATAGAACAGTATTATCACTCAACTTCATCTACACTGAACTCCAGACAATTCTCTTATGCTTGTCAAAATGAAATGTGGTAGGCTAGCAGGCCTAAAGAAAAAATATACCTATCTACATCCTACAGTGAGACCCAACTCTAGTGAACACCCTTCATCCACACATACTCGAATGACTTCTGCATAAGTTACCCTCTGTAGGGAATACCTACCAACACTGAACATTTTTTCTTGACAACAAAAATGTTCAATATACAAAGGCCAATCCAGAAGTTCTGATAAAAATGATGTATCTGATATTTGTACACAATTTACATAATTTATACACCTATTCAGTGGGGCCTTTTCAAAATGATTGATCAACAGAAAATTCTATAATCACACTTTCCCTACCCCATGGTAGAGGCACTTGGTCCAGGACTTGAGCTCATATTGACATTGTAACTGATATTGAAAATCTGAAAAACTAAATCCAACTGTGAACTCCTATTTGAGATAAAGTTCAAAAATATTTGTAACCAACCTCTAAATCTTTTGAGGAAAAGAATGACCCAGTTACTCTGAAAATATTGTGCAAAATGAAGGATAAACGTTTAAGAGCATTTTTATCAGGACTTCTGGATCGACCCTTCACTGTTTATTGTATACTTGACTCTCTTTATGTAGAAGTGAACAACATTGTCTACCTGAAACTAAACACCTGTACTCAGATCTTTTAGAGGGTGTTCAACACTGAACATTTTTTTCTTGACAAAAAATGTTCAATATACAGAAGATTAAATTGTACATTGTATAATCTCTGTTATGTTATAAGTGAACAGCATTGTTTACCTGAAACTAAACACCTGTAGTCAGATCTTTTAGAGGGTGGGCCTCCACGGCCTCTTCCCCTACCCCCACCATCGCCATGGTAACCACCGCCTCCACGACCCCTGCCCATGTCTCCATAGGAACGTTGGGGTCCCCCACCTCCAAACGAACCACCAGCCCCTCTGGGAAATTCAACCCTCAAAGTGTAGCCATCATAATTGTAACCATCACGGGCATGGACAGCGTCTTCAGCATCTCTGAAAATATACAAGAACATAAATCAGTAACAGAATCACATTTATACTGAGACATATAGCAAAGTGGAAATATGTTGGAAAGGAATTTACAATTACTCAGGTCATTACTCAGAGTTTACAATAAGTATGTATAAACACCATCATATTTTATACATGTATATATATACATACATATAGGCCTAGGCCTACTGGGCATATTTTCTGAAAGAGTCAAAAGATTCTGACCTTTTCTGAGCACCTACTCTTAGCTATTTTTCAGTCACATTTTCAGAGGACTGAAAAGGTTATTTCATCATGTTTATGGTCATTCTGACCATTTCCATTGTGTTCCCGCCTCCCGGTCATGTAAACTGACTGGAGGTCCAAACAGAACTCTGTTATCTTGGTTCAAAAATATTTCAAAATCCAGCATGGTTTTGTCACTTTTTGTTTTGTCATTTCCTGTGGCATGACACCTAAGTTATATTCTAAAAACTGTCATGTAATATTTCATGAATTTAAATGGAACTGTCTTGGCTCCTTAATGAGATATTGCAATCAGCATGATTTCGTCTTACATTAAGGTACCATGGAAGTTAACAGGAAATGACAAAAATTTTTGTAGTTTTAGACATTTTTTTAACAAAGATTACAGAGTTCTGGTTTGACCTCCAGTCAATTTAACTATTTCCACATATCATTTACATGACCAGGATCACAATGTGCATGGTCAGAATGACCCTAAACATAATGAAATAACCTTTTTAGCCCTTTGAAAGAGTGACTGAAAAAAAGCTAAAAGTAGAAGCTATGGAAGGTCACTGAACAGAATCTTTTGAATTTTTCAGAAAATGTACCCAATATAATGCTCTAACTGATACAATCTTTGAAATTTTAGAAAATTGTCTTAAACAAAAATGGCGGTCATAAAAAGGAAAATAGATCGCTTTTCAAATCAGTTTTTTCATTTTTTTTCTTTTTCTATGAATGATATCAAATGTTAAAAGATTGTATCATTTAGAGCAAAAAAATATTGGGCACATTTTCTGAAAAATTCGAAAGATTTTGTTCAGTGACCTTTCCTACCTCCTTCTTTTAGCTATTTTTCAGTCACATTTTCAGAGGGCTGAAAAGGTCATTTCATCATGTTTAGGGTCATTCTGACCATGAACATTGTGATCCTGGACCTGTAAATGGTATTTGAAACTAGTTGAATTGACTGGAGGTCAAAACAGAACTCTGTTATCTTTGTTCAAAAAATGTCTAAAAATGCAAAAAGTTTTGTCACTTCCTGTTTTGTCATTTCCTCTTAACTTCCAAAGCACCTTAAAACATACAGCACTAAGAAAAATGGCGGTATTCAAAAACTGGATGAAATGTTGTTAATGTTTGACATAAGTAACTGGCTGTAAATTCTAAGTTATCCAGAAGATGTGAACTAAGATTTTCGACATCTAAAAAGTTACTCAACTTTTTTTGTGATTTTGAATCACAGAAAGCATTCTGAAGTTTCAAATTGGTGCCAAGTTTAATTTTTGGCATCCGCCTAATGTATACCACTTACCTTTTATTGATTCTTTCATAAGTTTCGTCATAAACTCAGTTTGACCAGAAGTATCTTTGTTGACGCTAAAATTTTTAAAAAAATGTCCCTTTTCTAATCACCCAGATGTGCGGTTTACTTGAACTCGCCAAAAACGAGGGGTGTCAAACGCAAGATGGTAGAGATGAAGACATGTCGCCACTCTCAGAGAATCTATTCCATAATTTCAACATTACTACGCGGTTTTACAAGCAAAAAAAATAAGGGCAGGTTGTATATAGGACTGGACAAGATGAAAATAAATATTCTAAATAGATGACACCCCTTTCAAAATAAGATGAACTGAACCTATCACGTGACCGATTTCTTAGAAGAAATTACGTCAGAAAAACAAAAGCTCCGTAGAGATTTTTCGCTTGAAATGTTGAAAAGCAAGCCCAGTTTTCTATGGGAATATACCGAAATTAATAGTTACGTGTACAATATTACCGAGTTCGATGGTCCATAAGTTAGGTCGTTGATCATTCTGTAAGTACGACAATGTGAATTCATACGACTGTTACATTTTGGAAGTTTTTTTGAAAAAAAATTGAGTGACTTTTTAAATGTCGAAAATCTCAATACATTGATCAGTTTGTGTGTGTTTTGGAATTTTTGATGAGGTAATAAGACCAAAACTCGCAATTCAAATTGTAATGTGGAAAAATGGAGGACATTTGATTTCAAATTTTAAGATTACAACATGAGTCATTATACATGCAGGGATTTATCTTTGGACGACACGATACAGTGACCTTAGAAGAATGTTAGCATAATTGTGCTAGTCTAAGCTTAGGAGCTGAGCTTTTAGGCCGGAAATTTTAGACTTTTATGCTCAAAATTACAGAATGTAGAGATGTGATTGGAACTACATAAAGGATTGAATCAAGACTTACCTTGGATCTTCAAACTCCACAAATGCAAATGGTGGTCCTTTGCGATTTTTGAGGTCGATAAACGTGATCGTTCCAAATTTGAAAAATAAATCCTCGATGTCCCGATTTCTGATGTCCGGTGGCAAATTTCCAACGTATATTCTGCCCTTTGGGTTTTCGCCTCTGAACCCAGCCATATTCACGGTAGTAAATTGAAGTGATTTGATGCAATGTGCAAACAGTTAGAATGAAAGACAGTGTTTTCAAAATGATTTGTTCTTTGTTCCTGGATTCAAGATGGCGATAGCTTACGAGAAATATCGAATATTTCCGGAAACTACCGAATCACTATGCATTGTGGGGCGGAAAATTCCAGCAAGCAAACTTTATAAACGATCACCAATCAACAGCAAGATTTTGACCAATAGAAAGCTAGAGATAAAATTAGACCTAACAACGATTTTGTAGGATGCTGGAATTTGTGTGTCACTTTCAAAGAAATCATCAAGCCGGTTACACCGTTCATTTTGGCGAAACTATTTGGTAAGTTGAACTGTTCTATCTTATATTTAGTTGATAAATATGAATTATACATGCGTTTTATGTCAGTGATATATATAAAAGATCATGTATAAGGTGGGAGTGGTCCATCTTTTATGCTAATCTTGCCGTGAAATTTTGTATCACCTTGACAACGCAGACGCATTTTCATTTTTGAAAGTGGGTGTTGTCAGGTTGTGACTTTAAGGTTTTAGCTTAGATTTAAATAAGATAAGTTTTTGTATATCAAATCAATAGAGTAGTCACACTCAATACAGGTAGCTTAGAGTGCATTTTTATCTTCATAAACCCAGTTTGGTCAAGAGACATGCTGGAAAACAGGAAAAATTGACACCAATACTGTATTAAGGACAGGGTGCATGTTGGGAAATTTTCTGCATTCCTCAATTGAGTCACATGTTATTTTACAAACATGAATAACTCCTTCCCCACATTGTCTACATCTTCCAAGTTTGCACAAAGAGTGCACTTCTGTGCCTAGAAAAGCCTTGTGAGAAGGTTTGTTTTGTAAAATGTATAAAAAATGAGAAAATTCAGTGAAAAAAATTTCTGAAAATTTTCTGATTTTTTTCACTGAATTTTCTTGTTTTTTATACACTTTATCAAAACATTCTTCTCACAAGTCTTTTCTAGGCACATAAGTGCACTCTTTGTGCAAAACTGGAAGATATAGACAATGAAGGGAAGGAGCGATTCTTGTTATAAAAATAACATGTGACTCAATTGAGGAATGCAGAAAATTTCCCATCATGCACCCTGACCTTAAGGGCTTTAGCTGTTGTCATCGACATGTCCTCTACTATTAGATAATTAGACACAATGCGGAAGATATTTTGCTAGATTGAGTTTATCATGTTGAGTGTTTCTATTTCAGAATCAACATGACAGAACGCAAGGCTGTGATCAAGAATGCGGACATGTCCGAGGACATGCAGCAAGATGCTGTGGACTGTGCTACCCAAGCTCTAGAGAAATATAACATCGAGAAAGACATTGCAGCATACATCAAGAAGGAGTTCGACAAAAAATACAACCCAACATGGCATTGCATTGTTGGGCGCAACTTTGGAAGTTACGTCACCCACGAGACCAAGCATTTCATCTACTTCTATCTTGGACAGGTTGCCATTCTTTTATTCAAGTCTGGATAAATGGATCTTCGAAATTCTCACAGCTGAAACTCATCATTAACTTTTCATCATCTAAACTCTCATCCATGGTGTCATATTGTGACGTGTAATAGTGCCAGCAAAAAAAACAATATAATCCAAAACTACAAAAAGTACAAACTATAAACCGCAAGAGGGAGGCAATATGACTTAACATTCTAGTGCGTCTACTGTAGCCGATTGCAGCCATACATTATTTAGCTACTTATATTTTAGTGTCATAGAAGGCAGTTTTTCCTCAGACCATGAACTGTAATAGTTGTGCCATTAACTTTGATTGGTGTGCCAATAAATGCATTCAACTTGATTCATTCAAACACTGTTGTTACAATTAGATTTTGTATTTGTATATTTTTTGCTGAAAAAATAGTTTTATTTATGATTATACAATAAAAATGTTACATTTTATAAACTGTTTGTCATCTTAAAGAACTCTTGAAGTGATCTGGGTTAAATGAAACTAATCAATCACCTGATCATGCAGGCTACTCAGTTACTATACATTTAGGAATCATATTCTGATTGACTTGAGTTTTTACCAATCACCTTGTCCTCTTATATTAATTTTCCATCACCTCTACTCAAATTCAATGTTGGTTAAATTGTCATGGTATCCCCTCTTAAATAACAAGCATTTCTGCCACAAAGTTCCAGGCCCAACATGTACATAGATGTTATGTACATGCGTGGCGCCTCGTTTCAATTGATTTGACTTCGAAAATTAACATTTCAATCACATGACCAACTTGCCAACGGGATGGGCTTTTTCTTGAAAAATACTGAAGGGTACATGTTCGACTTTCTTTTATTAAATCGTTTCGCCAGTTTCTTCCTGAATTTGTCATGTGATTGAAGTGCTTGAAACGGCGAAACAACCGCAAGCAGCAAAACTTTATTACATTTATTAGGCGTACTAGTATTTTATTTCGAAGACGTAGAAATTATTTGTTTGAAATGCTCGTCTGGCTTTGATTTAAGAAGTTTGAACAAAAACCACCACATCAACATGATCAAAGAATAAGTAAAACAGTATGTGATCTCATTTTCTGATTTACCAGTTTACCCCGATCATTTACAAGCTAATGTTTTTATTTTCAAGCACCATATTTTCCATGGAATACACCATGGCTGTCATAAGGTTCCAAAGGACCAGCACTGAGATACTTTACGATTTTATAATTTATAAGGCTAATTATCCCAACGAACGAAGTTCGGTAGGGATATAGTGAAGCCGTCCGTCCGAAAGTCAGTCCGTCCGTCCGGAAGATAACTCAAATATTAGTTGACGGATTTTCTTCATATTTGGTGGAAAGATGTATATTGATGAATAGTTTTACGCAAAAAAAAATGTTTTCAAGATGGCCGCCGCTTTAAAAATGACGGGACTTTTTCGCAAAAATCATAAATTTTTCATTCTAAACCGAAGTAATTAATATTATTGTTTGAAATTTTGGGAGTATGTTCGCAACATCTATCTATTTCACATATGTTCCGTGTTTTTCATCCTGACCCCAAGGGGCCGTGTATGGGGGGTCAGGAAAACAGAAATTTTCGCTAATTTTTAGATCTTTCTGAAGTATAGCTTTATTATACTCAAATGAAAGGCAATTAAGAGTAGAATGCAAATATTGTATCTTTTTTCTGATTCGAGCCTCGTAAAATTCAAAATGGCCGTCTAATGTATGATTTCGCGACAATTTTTCGATCCCTTCAACGTATGGCTATATAATACTCAAATTGAAGGAATTTTGGAGTAGATCACAATTATGGTATTATTTTTCAGATTTGTACCTCAGAAAATTCAAAATGGCTGCTTTGCAGGAATTCGCAATTCTAAAATCTAAATTTTTCAATTTTAACCAAAGTAATGAGTATAATTGATTGGAATTTGGTAATTGATATTTTGTTCGTTGGGATTTGCTACTCCGCGGAGTTGCCATTATCTAGTTTAAAATCCTTTTCGAAATGATAATGTTATGTATATTTAGTATCTTTGAAATCTAAGTTTATGATAAAAATTTCGATCCAACGTATCAATCCGAAAGAAAAATTATTTGTTATTAATGCAATTAAAGATGGCAGCACTTGTTACAGTAGTTGTTGCTAAGTACTGTGCTCAGTTCATTAAAAAACGTTAACATCAACCAGAGACATGTTTCATAGTATATGTCTCTGCATCAACAGTCTACAAACTAGATTGCGAAACTGTTAAATATTAGAAAATACGGATCTGTAGTATTGCAGTTTTAGTGGGTTCTGTGTTTCGAGTGACTCTGATCACTTATGATCACTCAGACTCGACAATCCCGCAGAGCTTCTTGTCTACTAGTGGCCGCGTCTGCCATGTCTGCCGGTCCTCAGCCGTCGTGAAATGATGGTTATCGGGCCTAGTATCTGAATCTTGATTCAGTGCATCATCGTGACTGAAATTCTAAGAGCTGAACTTACAGAGAGTCTGACATCAAAATGATAATTGGTGCATGCATGCATCGATGTAGTTTTTGAAAAAAGGCCTCGCGATGTGGGACCGTCAGGCTAGTGCGCAAGAGGAGAAATGAGTTCGGGAGAGAAGAAATGGTTGTTCTCGATCGATATATGCGATATAAGAACCGTGATTCTGCAGGTGCAAGGAACGTTGTTGGTGAAGTCGGAACTGATGTCCCGGATATTATGAAAGTCTAGCGCCGGGCCTGATAAAACAGTTTTTCTCCCCATTCTCGAAGAGAACGAAATTCGCGAATACATAACTTACCTCACTGTATTTTGTATTACCTTTAAATTCATGATAGTCAATCGTGGTTCGAATTCTCCATGAAATAAAGCTTCATTCGGGAAAGGGAATTCAACTAGTATGCTAAATAATTATCGCCATCATCACTTTGCAGATGTCATCGCCTAATTTGGTCAATGTGAGCAGGTCGTTTTTACAAGAACTTCAGCAAGATTTTCACACACTATATTTTTAAACTGAAAAGCTACTTCATTCGCAGAAAAAATGAAACAGCACATGCAATGACAATTTGATCAATCATACCTCTGCACGAAATTCGTAGGAAGTATTTTACTATCTAACATACACGAAGTTACTAAAAAAGGCGCTTCGTCCTATAGGCTACTCGAAATGATAGTTTTTCCATCACTTTTTAAAGAATATTTGAATGCTCAAGCCAGGACCTTACAGGTATATGAGAAGTTGAAATGAACAGATGATTTTTACATTTTGGAAATGACTTCACTTTAAACAGACTTGCCAACCTTAAATGAAAATTTTTCGGGAGATTTGAAAAAAATTACGGTACTTTTACGGGAGTTTTTTTTACAAATCCGGTAGTTTTTGCGGGAGTTTTTTGAAAAAAAGCGGGAGTTCATACGGGAGATTGTTAAAAAAACGGTAGTTTTTACGGGAGATTTAAAAAAAACGGGAGTTTTTGCAGTAAATTTTGAAAAAAAACGGGAGTTTTTACGGGAGATTTTGAAAAAACGGGAGTTTTTACGGATGATATTTTAAAAAAGGTATTTTTCGCGCTAAATTTTAAAAAGCGTGACTTTTTATGGAATATTTCAGAAAAAACGGGAGTTTTTGCGGTAGGTTCTGAAAAAACGGGAGTTTTTACGGTAGG